TAGAAGAGTCTCTGGTGTACTCTTCAGTTATATTACCCTCTGGTATAGGTGATTCTTCTCTGGAATGGTCTGTTTCTGGTTCAACAATGACAGTTTGTTCTTCCTCCTCCTCCTCTTCTTCTTCTTCAATAGTAGATGTGTTTAAGCTGTCTTCAATTTGAGCTCGGACGCACAGCGCGATTGTGAGCACGTTGTGCTCGAGATTCGGATGCAGTAGACGTTGTTGTTGATGATATACGCCCCGCGTATGTGGATAGTGTTGTTGTTTATCTGAATGAACCCCCTCGCGGTGGGCTCCAGATGAAACGCAGTAATCGGAAGGACAGGTGGAAAGGGAACTAGACAGAACTCAAAACTCACTCACACACAATCACACTATACTCCAATCCAATCGTTCTTCAGTCCAATAAGTCGAACCCTAACCCTAAGTTAAGGCTTGTCCCAATCCAATAGTCGGTCCAACGTCGTGCGCGCAAGTACGGGGGTTCCAACCAAAATATATCGCTGTGGCAATCCAGATGCTCAGTTCAACAATCCAAGGTAGGTGGGTAAGGGGTTGGTAGTCAACGTTGTAGTCGGTTGGTAGTGTAGCGTATAGGTCAACCAAGTAATGTACTGCGTTCGAAGCAGCGGCGGTCACGTGTTCTCGGGTTCAGCGGTGTCGGGTACTCAAATCAAGTCGTTGTCGTCGTCGTTCGCGTTCAGCAGTACAGGAGAACCAAAACCGCCTTACGGGGCGCGCTTTCTTCTGCCCTACTTGCTACAATACAGCGCTCTTATATACCCCAGCCCGTCCGCGGCTCTGGGGACCTCCGCGGTCACGTGCCTGACCTCCGGCCCTCCGCGGCCTACTTCTGACGCGTTTCACCACTGCGACGCGTCTCAGCATCCCCCTGGACCCCCTTCATACACTACCGGACCCCTAGGGCCTCGACCCGCACCAGTTCTCCCTCGGAATCCGTCCCCTCGGCGCGTTTGGAGGTGGTTCGGCCTCGGTCCAGGGCCGGCCGGCGTTTCAGCTCGCGAAAAGTGTCCGCGGGGCCCCGCGCGTTCGATTCCACGCACGTACGTGTCACGGGCACGACACAGGTTCGGTTCGGAAATGGCATTCGCCGAACCTGAACGCTGAACGCGCGTTCAGTCCGGTCCGGTTCGGGTTCGAACCGAAATCCCGAACCGGACCTGGCCATCGCTACAGGAGTACCCGAGTATCAGGTCTTGTTTCCCAAGGTGGGTCACAGCCAGCTGAACGCGTTCGGAGTGACACTACCTTGAATAGCAGCTACAGAAATACTTATATGAAGGGACCAGCCTACAAATTTTTAATGTTGACAGGTAGTAAAAGTTTATAATTTTACAACTTTTTAGATAAATTCCCTCTTTCCAGCTGTGTACTTAGTTTTCTGGTCCCACAATCCAATTTTGATATAATTAAGTTGTCAGGTTTGATTGTCCGCAACCGTAGCAGGGGAGGATCCACAAAGAAACTCTAATGGTTTGCCTGCCAGGGTGCCAACTATATACTCATATCTTGAACCCAAGCTAACTAGTGCTTTATTTGAGCTAATCTCCTGTGGAAAGTTTCACTGGAAACAGCTATCTAGCATAGCTTTGACTATCTAGAGATCCATGAGGGGTCTCAAAAATACCAAAGATCCTACTATTTCAATCAATTCGTCAAGGGGTGCTGTGTGATACTCCTGAAAAATTGAAACAAGGGGAAAGAAACTCTAATAGAGTCTGCCTGCTCCATCAATAGAGGCAAAAAAAATTGTGTATTCGGTTCTTATCAGGCTGTCGATCCTGGTCTCAAACCACAGGTAATGAGATTGGGCATGTGGACGAGCTACAGGTGTCGGACGACAGACAGCAGCTGATGGCAGTGGGCACCCTAACACCAGTTAGATAGTTCAGTTTTGATGTGTTACAAAACTTCATTTTTGTCATCCAGTCAGGTTCAATAGGTATGGTCAAATATGGTCAAACAGGCATCCAAACGATGCCCGAACGGCAGGTCCGAATGAGTAGATTACATCATGTGCTTGGATGTCTGTTTGGATGTCAACTTTGACTGCACCACGAATAGACATCTGAATGCAAGGCCAAATACCTTAGGCTAGTGCTTGCGCAGTAGTCTCCTAAGTAAAGTGTGATGTGCAGTGACCCAGCACTTGTTTCCTATGGCCAGGATTGACTCCCGCCACGGACGTGCTACACATCTACGCAAGTCAGCAACCTCATAGGCACTCCACCGGTGTTGTAAGGGCAACCCTGGAGACTCCGACGAAAGCCTAGCAGGGGAGGATCCAAAGCGTGAATAAAAGCTACGGAAATACATGGAGGGACCGACCTAGCAGGGGAGGATCCAAAGAGAAGAAACTCTAAGGGTCCGCCTGCTAGGGCGCCAACTATATACTGGTCGTCCGTAACTGCCGACGTAGAGCGCAGAAGGCCTGAGCGGCGTCGCAGGCTCTGTCCCAAGGTGATCGTTGGGAGGGTCTTGACGGATCGGTGATTGTGCGGGCGAAGGAGGCCGTGGACGATGGTTGGGGTGGGTCGGAGCGTCCGAGGGGGCGCCGGTCGGATGCGCCTCGGATGCGTTTGGAGGGTCCGAAGGAGGCCGAAGCGGGAGTTCCCCTGACAGACGTGCACTGAGCAACAAAATCGACAAAAATAGTCGTTTCCTGGTCTGTCCCAGACTGCGGCGGGTGCTCAGCCAACACCAAGAACAAATTGCCAAAAAGCGTGTAAAAATAGATCATACTTTCTAGTAACACAGCTACCGTCTGGTTTTGCAGGATGGCCGTTCCATTACAGGAGGCAAAAACAAGGAGGGTAAACTTCAGCCATGACAGAGAATGTGGTTGGGGTACTGAAAAAAGAGTTCAGCCTGCAGAGCATGCAAAAAGAACACACCTTCTTGTCAGGGCGCAGCAGTCTGCCTTCAACTTGCAGCGCAGAGAATGTAGTTGGGCAAAGACAGCATTAATCCCAGCAGCACAGTGCCGACACAGATTTAGACTCTCGAGTCTCGAATAGGTTGGCGACTGGAGAAGGAGTTTGTTGGTGCATGCGTGTCGGTCAGTGTTGCCATCACATTGCGCTAGCTGGCTGCGTAGGTCAGGTCTGCCACTGAGGCTGCTATTTCGCATCGCGATGGGCATCAGGAACAAGAATAGAGGTGATTGCGTAAGATGTGACTGGGATCACATCATGATTAGCTCCGCGCCGGAGCCGCCGATTGGCTGGGCCCACGTGCGTGCTGTCAATACGTGGCAGCGTTTTCTCTCTTCGCTTCTTACTTCGCTGCGACTCGTTCTCCATTTTTGCTGCATGTTTCCAAACGAGCTCTTTCACGAGGTGCTCAAAGATGTGTCGCCTTGCGAGCTGAAATCCGTCGCTCTTGCCTCCCATCGTCTGCGGCTTCTCGCCCGCCCATTCCTCTACGACAGGCTGTCTTTAAAACCTTACGTACCGGCAGGGGACCTGCAAGACTGGGAGAGCGACAACCAAATCTCTCTCGATCTCCCGCCGCCCGACGAAGTCGCAGCTACCATTGCAAAACTTGCTTTCTTCATGTCTCCTGCGATCGCCCCGCATGTCCATCGCCTGCAAGTCAGCTGGGAGACAGGCGAGGAGCCTAATGTCAGAATCCGGGACGTGTCGTTCGAGAATACCACAAAGATCCACATCATATGCGACCTACTCTTTGCAGGCATCGACAACTTCTCCAATTTGCGTAAATTTGTTGGCCGGTCCCTTATATTCACCCTTTCCGCGCTCGCCAACCTTTCCCGGATCCGCGGCCCAATTGAGCTGGATCTATTTGCTTGTTACTTCGACCACGATGACGATGACCGTCACTCGCTTCTTGCCAAGACACAAATGCTGGCTTCTGCCATTCCAACACTCGACATGCGTATCCGGGTCTCCACTTTCACGCTTGCGACCTCCGCTTACCAAGACTATAACCTTTCTTTTTGGCTAGCGCTCTTGGATCCCACCACAGTTTCTGTTGTGACCTGGGATGGCGATCGCGCAGTGAGCGCCGGGAAAGTGGCAGCACTCTCAACCGTGTTCCTTCACGTGAAAGAGGTGGAACTGAAACTACGCCATGCATCGCTCCTCACCTACTCTGCCTGCGTTGAGCTCCAAACTATATTTCCTGCCATTCAGAAGCTCAGTATCAAGACACAGCTTACTAGTCGTGAACATGACACAATGTGGGCCAAGTGTGATGGCTGGGAACATTTATTTCCCTCCGTATTACAGCTTACCACTCCCTGTGGCGTGTTGCCCCTCCTCCTCCCCATCGCGCCGTCCATCCAAGCATTGTACGTGGAGAACTCGGCTGCCACGGCATTGCTGTATATCCTGCGGCGGAACAAGGAGTACATCCCGGCCACAATCACTACACTCTCCCTCAAATGCTATGATGGTGATATAGGCGACTGGGGGAGAATCTTGGCGCACTTTCCGCACCTGCAAACTCTTGAGTGCGCCGTAAATATGTTGGCCGTGGCTTCTACTGCAGATGTATGTCCTCGCTCAAGCTGCATCCTTGCTGACCTCGTCGCGGCATACCGGCTTCTTTCATCGCTTCCCGGCCACTCTTCCCGTCAGTTTGCAACGGCTCGGAGTCAAGTACTCGGACATGGGTTCATTCGCCCTTATTCTCTTCGAGAGCGGTGTCCCGCCTGAGTTCGGCCCATTGACAGAGGAAGCCCTGCAGACCCACCTGCTTCATCGCTGCCCCAATCTGGAATGGATTTCGATACTTGCGCCACCCTTCCATCTAAAACTCCTGTGGACAAAGGACACATAATCATGCCGGTGATGTAGATACAAGTTGAGAAGACCAAATCACAAATGAGAATGAGTAGATATTGACTCCTTATAAACAAGAGAATGAGTGGCACTAGCTGTGTTTGTCTTCCGCTCTCCTTGAGCTGATCCTGCAGTCATGGTAAAGGTATACGTAGGTGTGATAGTGGACCGAGTCAAAGGATACCCCGATCAAGCGGCGGGCGACCATACGTCTCCTGCAACCAGGTCATCAGTGTGTTCGTTCTCCCTGCCATCTTCACAAAAATACACACCGGTTCCTGCGGGCGGTTGCTCAACACGCTCTCGATACGCGCCAACACCGCAGCATCCAGCTTGGGGAGGACCGCAAGCGCGGCGAGGTTCGCCTGCAGCTGCGCGACGGAGGATACGCCGAGGATGACTGTGGAAGTATAACGGTGCGCGGCGACCCACGCGAGCGCCAGCGCGGTCGGCGTCGAATTGAGTTCTGTCCTAAGCATCAGCCAAGGTCTACTTTGGTGAAGAACGACGCCCCTGCAGCGATTTCGCCGAGGAGGCGCACTTTTTGTAGCAGCTCTTCGCCTTGGGCACCCTCCGTCGCCCCGCGGAACATGGGCACGGTGGCGAAGCGCGTGCCGTCTGGGATGCCGTCGTTGTACTAGCAAAGTGAGTTAGATTTTGAGAGGAACGAGGACGATATACCTTCCCAGTCAGCAGTCCGCCCTGCAGTGCCGAAAACGCAGTTGTGCCGAGGCCGTACTTGGCGTACAAAGGGCTACGGAGTAAGCATTAAATACTGATGAAGTTTGATGGCTGCCTACGCACGCGTATTCCTTCTCCGGACGATCGCGGTGGAACATGCTATCATCACCTTAGTATTGTTTGGCAGGAAGAGAGAAGAAGAGGCGCAGACTTGTGTTTGCACTGCTCCGCAATCGGCGCGATAAGATTCAAACGCGTGGCAACATCTGTGCCCGGGGTCAGCAATGGGAGGTTGAGAGCGAGGAACACGCTTGCGATGCGCCTCTTCGATCTGATGCGCGCTCCATTCGGAGGTGCCCCAGTAGAACGCCTGGGTGTGGATTTATCATTTTAGTGTGTATGGGAAGACAACAGCTTACGACGCACCCAGCCCTGGTCGATAACGTAGTTGAAAGCACGAACAATCTCCTCCATCGGAACTAGCCGGCGTCAGTTCGCTTCCTCATGCCGAATGTAAGGCTCACCGGTGGTATCGCATCGATGCGCGAAGATGACGTCGACATAGTCCATTTACAGCCGTCGCAGGCATGCCTTCGTGCCCTCGATGACGCTGTTGCACTGGCAGTCAGAGCCGAAAGAAGGAAAGGAAGGCAGCGCACTGTTTGCGCGACAGCCCCGTGTCATTCGGGCCCGTGCCCGGCTCGTGGCTCCAGAATATCTTGGTCGAGATGATGAGGTCGGTGCGGCGCCAGCCAAGTTCTTTGATAGCGCGACCCCTTAGCAACAGAGCACTTCAGCACAGACAGAGGGTACCAGCTACACATACGCACATTTCGCGCTCAGCCGCGCCCTTCTGGTAGTCCTCTGCGGTGTCGAACATGTTGATCCCGTTCTCGAAGGCAGCCTGCATGATGTCCTTGACGCTTTCGCCGACAACTGAGCCGCCGAGGGTGAGCCCTGCTGGAAAATGAGCTGATGTCGACGATGAACACGTGAAAACTGGCAGCCTCCGAGAGAGAGAAGAGCGGCACGCGCAGCCCGCTGGGGCCCAGCCGGCGGAAGGGCATCGCTTTTGCGTCGAAGACGGGTACTGGAGGGGACATGGAGGCAGGTGGAGAGGATTGGAATGGGTGGATGGCCGGCCGGTGGTGTCTGCGGAAAGCGGAGCGCCGTCGCCGGGGGCATTAGACCTATTCTTGAAAGAGTCCTGGCCATCGCGGCCGAATAGTATGCTCCGTCCACCCGCAGGGGGTGGGAAGACGCAAGAAGGCTCAGAGATCGATGTCACGGCGGCGCCACGGAAGGACCGCGGCTTGTCCGCTCCCGCCATGCGGTGCCTTGCGTCGGCGCGCGTGCGGTGGGTGCTGCTCCTGGCGCTAAGAAGGAAGGTACTTCGGCCCGATGGTGGTGGTCGAGAAGAAAGAAGCGCTTGACGTGGCACGTGCGGCCGCATGGTCCAATCACGCGCAGATGCCCACTTCTCTTCCTTCCTTCCCCCGCCTGTTCTCCCGTCCCCGCTCGTCGCTCAGACTCGCTCCTGTCCCGCCGGCGCTCCCAGTTTACGCGCGCTGCTCACCATGCTGTATGGCAGTTCCTGCTCCTCCCCATCAGGCCCACGCGTCCTTTCCAAGCGCGTGTCCAAGAGCCGGCAGTAAAGACCTTGGTCGGTTAGTTCGTGGGGAACTGTGGTGCGCAACCTTGATACCTTCCCTCCCCTGCTCACCCCAGACAGTAGTATCTCTGCTGGGTACGTCGGAAGATTGCGGTTCTTAACAACACGTTGCTCAAACCGCGTCGCGATATCGCGCTGTCGTTGCCCCCACGTCTCCAACAGCACCTTGCGCGTTGAAGTGTTTGTCGCCGGACCAACCTTAAAAATCGACGCGACCATCCACCGTCTGCACGCAATCGCCCACTCTTCCAATCGACCGCACGGCTCCCCGGCGGAAACAACCCGGCGCCGCTCGCGTCCCTCTCCGGCTCCCACTGGTACTCCAGACGTGCATCCGTCGATCCTACTGACCAGCATGGTATACAGATACGCTGTCCCGACTATTACGTGGCCAATACGTGTATTCGAGTGTTCTACACATCAACCAGTGTATATAACGTCCAGTCCGCCACAGCGTTATAGGTAGTAAGTAAGTAGGTAAGTACAGTACAAGGCAGATACGATAAGGATACGACAAAGAGAGGCCAGTGGGTCGATGCAGATGAGGGAACGATATCAATCAAAGTTAAACCGCGTCGTTCACTGGCATAAAAACAGAACCAAAGCAACACCAAGCCTCACGCAGTCGACGACCGCCCCACCGGCGGGCGCGGCAGCGGCCTAACACTCCCTACCGCCACCGACATATCCATCTCCGCGGGCTCCTCGACGATCGCCTCGCCCACGACCGACATCCCTACTCCCGACCCCGTGCCAGCGCTGAAGAACGAGCTGCTGCCTGTGCCACTCAGGCTGCTGGTGGTGCTGCTCGTCGTCGACCCCCGTCTTAGCCCCTCGAACACCTCCCTCTCCGCCTCCCCGAGCGCGCGCCCGGGCATCAACGGCCGCGCGTGCGGCGTCACCGGCGTCCCCGGGCCCTGCACGCTCCCCGGCCGGGAGGTAAGACCCACGCTGACACTCGGCCGCCTCCCGCCCGCGCCGCAATGCCCCTGCTCACTAGCAAGGGAGGCAGTCGCGGTCGGCGTCCCCGGCACACTGCTCCCGCTCCCGACCTCGCGCGAGCCGAGGCTCTCGATCGTCGGCATGCGGCGCACGTACGCGTTCAGGATCAGCACGCGGTCGGGATGTTGGCGGCTCGCACCAGGAGGAGGGAAGGGGGGGAAGGAATATGTCAGGGCATACGGGGCGTAGGGGCTGGCGGCGGAGGAGGAGGTGGAAGGGAGCAAGGACCCCGCGGCGGTGTCGCGGCCGAGGACGAACGAGTTGAGTTCGCGGTCTGGCGCGAGTGCGGGCGCGAGCGGGAGGTCGGCGTACGGGTCGAAGTCGTCCTCCCCTTCTGAACTCGAGGAGGAGGATGCAGAGGAGGACGAGGAGTAGGAGATCGTCGTGTGTGCGGAGCCGTGGTGCCGCGAGCGGGAGCGGGAGCGGGAGTGGCTGTTGGAGTGGGACTGCGACTGCGACTGCGACTGCGAGCGGGAAGCTGAGCGATCCCTTGTCCGCCGAAGAGATCGGCGTTCCGGCGCAGGCGTCAGCAGCGCACTCGGCCCGTTCCGGAGGGTGGACGAGGCGGAGGGAAGCGAGCGGTGCGAGGCCGCGCTGGAATCGGCGGAGGGCCGGCGGGTGTGGCCGTATGCCGCGAGCGCGACGACATACACAATCTACTTGCCATCAGCCAAAAGCAGAAGAGAGAAGGACAGCCACACGCACCAATACGGCCGCCGTCAGCACCAGCCGCAGCAGCGCGAGTATCAGCCAATGCACCCACGGCGGCGGCGCACACTCCTTCTTCTCTTGGACGGACCACACGACGTCCACATCGAGCTTGCAGCGCACGGACAGCTCCAGCGAGGCGCTGCCGGCGCGCCGCCAGACGAGCGCGAGCACGAGGTTGGCCACGGCGGGCGCGAGGAGCAGGGCCGCGGCGAAGTAGCGCAGGCCGCGGCGGACGGCGCGGACGGTGGGGGTGCACCGCCCGAGGAGATGCGTCTCGATCAGCGGGAGGAGCGCGGTGGAAAACAGGAGCGCAAGCGCCGCGAGACTGGCCGCGGCGAGCGCGAGCGCAGCACTCTCGGCAGCAGGGGCGGACGCGGGGATGTGCCCGTAGGCGAGGAAGTACCGTGTGGTGCAGTAGAGCGTCCACACGCCTTTACCCGATATCAGCACGGCGGAGATAAGAGGAATAGGAAGACGCACCGAGGACGCCCTCCGCCCCAACGACCGCCCTCTTCTCCCTCTGCAAACGCCGCCGGATCCCGTGCTCCGCCATCTCCTTCCGCTCGCGCCCCGTCATCGGGTCCCCGTCGAAGCTCAGCCCCGGCGGCGGTCCCGCGCCCCGGACACTCGGGTGTCGTGGCTGTCTTGCAAGCAGGTCGAGGTACGCCACGGAGCTCGTTTCTGTGGAGGCGGGGAGCAGCGGCTGTGTCGGGTGCGAGGCGTCCGAGAAGCCCGCGAGCGTCGACGCGCTCGTCGTCCGGCCATGACTCAGACTCTGGCTGTGCCTGGGCCCGTAGTCGCTGGAGGGGATGTGTGTATGCTGCTCGGGGTCCGGCACCCACAGCGAGTTGTGCAGGAACAGCGCGGCCATCCGCGCATCCGCTGTCTTTAGCGTGGGCGTTGGCTGGCGCGGATGGTGGTGAGTGCGCAGCGCGGGCGCTGGTGGTGGTGGTGGTGGTGGTGGGAGGGAAAGGAAGGAAGACGCCGATCGGGCGCTGTAGGCTAGGCCGATCACGTAACGTGACGCCTGTCAGCCTGTGCTGCCAGATACAGATACATATACACTAGACAGGGCTGGGGCTACGCCCCAGCTTTGAATGTTGCTTGAATAACATGAATTTCTAGATTAAGAACATTGCCAGTAACTACAAATGCTCAATAGCCTTTTTATATGTCTGCTCTAGTATTGTTGCTAGTATATGTAGATTGCAACCTAAGTCCGTAAAATCTATGTATTTATTTCTCAATTTGTGGGCAATTTGAGAATACTTACTTAGTATACACTTCAGTGTTATCATGGTAAATAACCCTAGATATAACTTGGTGATAGTACTGGGTGCAAGATATCACTAACAGCTTTGTGTCCCAATTAGGATTGGTGACATTTTACAGCTTTCCTTACTAATTTAGGGCTTTAACAGCAATGATCCCAAAAATGGAAGTGTGGAGCAAATCAATTGTTAAAGTCAGTGCCAAACATGTGCATACATTCACACGACATCTGCTTAATATAAGAGTAATCCCTGGCAGCATCGCGCCACACAGTGCATTAGGACGAGGCGTCCTCGGGCGGCGAGCCTGGTGCTCGAGCTGTATCCTGTGCACTACTCGCCTGGTAAACGGCACCCGCCTGTCCGCCCGAGGGAGCCGTATGGGGCGGACTCGCGCCCGGGGGGCTGTGCCGGCGCTCCGTCCGGCTTTCCCGGATCGGATAGAAATGCACCGCTTGCCAGATGCTATGCCGATCATGAAACGGCGCGTTCCCGTCCCTGGCGTCCTGCAATCGTCTTCGCCTACTCTGTCCATGGCCCGCCTGCCCCACCCGCCGCCCCTCCGCCTAGTTTCGCCCCGCGAAGGAAAGGGGCGTCGGCGTCGGCGTCGGCATTGGCATAGCGACACGCGCTCTCGGCCGCGCTTCACGGCAGGGCGGCGCAGGGCGGCTGACCGCTTGCGGGGAGGGCCATCAGTGAAAAGTTAAAACCCCCTCAGTAATTAGGCGGAAATGTGAAACAATTTCTGCAAATTTCTCCGTTTTTTGACCTAAATACTCGAATGGCTTTCCTTACCAATTCTACCATCCTGCCAGCTAAAATTACCTGAAAGTTGTCTAATTTACATCACTATTACTTTAGTCCGGCCTGGCAATTACCGTACAGATACCCATAATTAAATACTTTTTCCTCTTGAATCCATTCGTTCTAACATTCATTCTAGAAATATCAAAATAAATTAAGGTAACTAATTACTAAACATATACAAGTAATCTAATATTTGCTGCCCTTTCTGTTTTTGCCAAGATCTTCATCCTGTAAGGGCAACCCTGGAGACTCCGACGAAAGCCTAGCAGGGGAGGATCCAAAGCATGAATAAAAGCTACGGGAAATACACGGAGGGACCGACCTAGCAGGGGAGGATCCAAAGAGAAGAAACTCTAAGGGTCCGCCTGCTAGGGCGCCAACTATATACTGGTCGTCCGTAACTGCCGACGTAGAGCGCAGAAGGCCTGAGCGGTGTCGCAGGCTCTGTCCCAAGGTGATCGTTGGGAGGGTCTTGACGGATCGGTGATTGTGCGGGCGAAGGAGGCCGTGGACGATGGTCGGGGTGGTCGGAGTGTCCGAGGGGGCGCCGGTCGGATGCGCCTCGGATGCGCTCGGAGGGTCCGAAGGAGGCCGAAGCGGGGGTTCCCCTGACATCACCCCCCCCCCTTTGAATGCGGTGTCCCAACGCATAGTTCGAAAGGGCAAGGAGTCGAAGGTTGCTGAGGCAATGTGCCGTGGTTTACCCGGGTACCTCCGATAGAAGTCCGCAATCTTGTCTGGCGCAAAGACACGGTCGAACCGAACCCACGAGTCGTGTGAAGCATCGTAGCCTTTCCACCTGATGAAATAGTTAAGACGCTTATACCTTATCCTGGCATCCAAGATTTCCTCGACTTCCCATTTGGGGACTCCGTCCTCTAGTTCGGGGGGCGGTTCGTCGTAGCCGGGTCGTCCATTGAAAGGGTCGTCCTGAGTGGGCTCGAGCTTAACAACCGGGAAAACGGGGTGGAGCTTGGAGTAACGCAGGGGGAGATCGAGCTTGTAGGCACCTTTGCTAATCTCTGCGAGCACCTTGAACGGTCCGAGGCGCCTGTGGGAGAACTTCTCGGAGGGCCGAGTCGTTCTGATGTCAGAGGCGTCCAGCCAAACCTTATCCCCAACTTGAATATTCGGAGCGTCCGAGTGTTTCCAATCGTAGTACCGTTTATACTCGTCTTTGGCTTTAACGAGCGCGGCCTTTGCCTCGGAGACGCCGTTAGCTATCCGATCGCGAAACTTGTTCACCGACTCCAACTCTGAGCGGGCGCCCGGCTCGAAAACCATTTGGGGGAGCTGACCAGTGTCCGTCATAAGGGGTACCTGTTGAGTGGAGGAGTGAACGTGGTTGTTCTAGGCAAACTTAGCGGCAGGGATAAGCTCGTCCCAGTCGTCTTGTTGGTAGTTGGTGAAGATCCGGATGTACTGCTCGAGCTCTTGGTTAACGCGTTCGGTTTGTCCGTCGGTTTGCGGGTGGTAAGCCGTAGAGGTAGCCGGTTTGACGCCAATTAAGCGCCAGAGTTCGCGCGAAGTCAGCAATGAACTGCGAACCACGGTCTGAAATGTACTTCTCGGGGGTTCCGTGGTGCCTCCAGACATTCCGATAGTACAACCGGGCGGCTCCGACCGCATCTATTGTCGTATGGCATTCAGTGAAGTGAGCGCATTTGCCAAGAGCGTCGACGACTACCATGACCGCGTCGTACCCATGAGCCTCGGGGAGCTCGACGATGAAGTCCACCGTGACGGTGTGCCAGCGTTCGGGGGGGACTTCGGTTGGGTGTAGCTCTCCGTGCGGGAGCCTTCGGAGGGCCTTCGTACGGCAGCACAAGTCGCAGGTCGCGACGTAGCGTCCGATATGGCGGGACATCTGTGGCCACTAGTAGTTGCGCGAAACCAGCTCTAGGGTTTTGAACCGCCCGGTGTGTCCGGCGACTTGTGTATCGTGGCAGAGCTCGATGATGCGCCTCCTTAGGTCCTTGTCTTTGGGGACTACGACCTTGCCGCGGAAGTACAAGAGATCACCCGAGATGGCCCACTCGTCCGAATGTGATGAGCGGGGGCCCCGAACTTGACCTCGGACCTTCAAGAGTTGCCGGGCCGCAAGCGCGACGGGCTCCTCTAGGTCAGGCTCACCGGATAGCGCTTCCTTGATGTCGCGGACAAGTTCGGACCCAGGCCCAGAGACAGTGACGGCCTCAAGCGCGCGAACGTGGAAAAGCTCAGGGTGCAAGAGGGTGACATCCGAGTTGTCTTCGGAGATGCCGTGGTCAGGCCGGCGGGAGAGAGCATCGGGGTGGCCCATCTGGCAACCTGGGACGTGGTGCAGCGTGAAGTCAAACCTAGAAAGGTACAACGACCATCGGGCTTGCCGACGGTTAAGGTGCTGTGCCTTTCGGAAGTACTCCAAATTCTTATGGTCAGTCCAGATCTCGACCGGATGCACGGCGCCCTCGAGGAAATGCCGATACTCCTCGAGTGCGCGGATGATCGCGAGCATCTCCTTGTCGTGAATCTCGTAGTTGCGCTGGACATCATTTAAGCTTTTGGAATAGAACGCTACAGGGTGCCACTTCCCGTCCGGGGCGGATTGTTGTGAAAGAACCGCCCCCGTCGCATAATCTGGGCTGTCTGCTTCAAGTCGGAAAGGCCGAGAGTTGTCCGGGATCGCTAAGACGGGCTCTGAGACGACCGCGTCTTTGATAGCTTGAAAGGCGGCGGCTTCGGCGTCTCCCCAGGTCCATTTCTGGTCTTTCTTGGTGAGCGCAAAGAGAGGCTGCGCAAGGGCTGAGAAATCCCAAAATGTCTATCTAGGTGTGGGCAGGTGGGCTGAGCATCTCAGAGTCATGTCGTGGGAGGTGATGTGGCTGGCAAGAGACAAGTCGTGTCGCACAGCCACATCACTCCACTCCACCCAAGACAGCGCACATGTCTCGCTTACTTAACAGGTGCTACATTCTTGGGCGCTTCATTTCATTCTGCTCAGTAGTCACATAAAAGAGAAGATAGACATTTGCTACTTGTGGGCTAGGAAAGACCAGGCACAGCCTGCTCCGGGGCACGATGCTGAGGCTCTCAGAATTTAGGGTGCTGTGAAATATTCTGGTTAATTAACATGTTAATAAACAGGTGTAAATAAACCATGTAAATAATTGGCTGGACAAGGGTTTAGTGTTAATAAACCACACTAGATTATGTGATTTGGGTATGACAGTGGTAAATTTGGCAATACTGGGCAATATTATGGGTATAATACTATCACTTGAGAGTTCAGCAAGCATTATATCCACACCTTGAGGGCTTAGAACACTCCCTGCATATAGAAACTTGAAGCTGCACCGCCAAAAAACACCGATGCGCGTGAACGTTCGATAGAACGTGGCGAGATCCGTTTCAGAGTGAATACCAGCCGCGGCTGTGAAATTCAGGTGCGTGGTCCAATATTTTGGCGTGTACAGATGATTTTCATCGTTGCCAGCGTAATGCGACATCATGGCGATCTTCCACTTGTCATAGGATTTAGCCCTGTCCGCGAATTCGTCGAGGCTTTCGCCAAGTTCTTGGTCATTGACTGCCAAGTATTGTACGCAGGCTTTCTTCTGCTGTTGGTCATCGCTGATTTGCGCCAGGTCTAAGAGATATTCAACATCAGCAAAGTAGCATTGCAGCTCCGAAGGCTTTGAAGGGTCGAACGTGGGTGCAGTCAACGCACCGCGTGCGGGGCATCGGGATGGCAGCCGCCCCAATGCCCGCACGCGGAGGTTGTTGGTATGCTGGGCAGTGCAGCGAGGCAAAGCGTGATGAGCAATGAGCAATGAGCGAGGGGCAAGGGGCGAGGAGCAAGGAGCGAGACCTGAGGAGCAAGGAGATCAGAGGGGTGAGCAAAAGCAGGGGGGTGTCGAGGTGGAGAGTCGAGGGGGAGTAGAGTGAGTGTAGATCCGGTACAAGCTGTAGTAGATGGGGAGTAATAGACCGATTTCTAAGACTGTTACGTAGCTGTGCTGTGGACCAAGAGGTGCGTCGGATGCACTTTGAAGTACCCTCGCGGTGGGCTCCAAAATGACAAGCTTTCTCACTGGTGTGGGAAAGAACAAGAAAAGCAAGAGCCCTTCAAACTGCTCTAACTACAACTAAAGGCTACAGCACAACCAGAGAGGAAGAAGAAGAGGAAAGACTTTGAACTCTGGGGAAACTCTGCTGGGGGGAAAACTATGATATGGGAACTAACTAGGGACAGGCTTATATACCCTACTAACTAGGAGCTAGGAGAAGGAACAGAAAGGAACCATACAGGAACTAAGGAACTAGATGAACTAAAGGAGTCTGGAAGGACGGCCTATCCGGATCAATGCTGACTAATGCTGACTAATCACTGCTGATAAGCCTCTAAGGCTCGTCAGAAATAGCTTAATTTTGTTGTAAAACATAAAAAAAGTTCATAATTTATCACTGCGGACAGGTCAGATTTTCACCTGTTACACGTTCCGGAGGCCTCCGGACAGCTGTGATTGCAGACAGAGTGCGTTACACGTTACACGGCCTGGTCACTTGATCAAAATGATACAGTACTGTACTATTTTGGGTACATATGTTTCACTGGTAGCAAAGGCAATGACAGTTAGCTAAGGGGCGTCCAACGGGAGTTTGAAAGCAAATTTTTTTCCTTTGTTTGGAACAAAGAAATCTTTGTCTTTCTTTCCACTCCTGTTGGGGCTCCCATTAGCAAACTGCCATTGGGTTTGCACCCAGTGTTCGTTCCCCTGAATGTGGGGACAAAGCACTGAGTTGTACTCATCATCTTTGTCGGCTTTGTCAAGGGCCAGGAGGAGAGAGAATGCATGATGGCAGTTGGAGGAGTCGCAAGCAAGGGGATATCCACATCATGGATTGTTGGTTTCCAACACAAAAGATAATGGTCTGCCGCAGTAAAGTATGTGGAAACATGCTGGGCTGGGAATCAGAAGCTAAGGAAGTCCTTGGCTGGCTGGGAAGATTTCAGCTACCAGCAAAGCAGGGAGCCGTAGCTGTTGCAATCAATTCAGCATGAGAGGCATCTGGCTCATAGTCTGCCTTTCGCCTAAAGCTCAATGGCAGCCCAGAGGAAGTGACAAAACTTTTTATCAGTCACACCGTTAATCCAGAGATGACAAAATCTTCTGTTTGTCATCAATGTCATGCCTCCGAGGAGGCTGAGGTGACAGACTGAATAAAATAGTACAGTATTGCTCCTCTCAAATATCAAACAAAGACTAGTTTCTATTCATCCCAGTGAAAACCTCAATATAAGCTGATACAATTTTTAATTACAACTGATATCAATAAAAACATCTGAATTTGTTAGCTGCTTGCTTCCTGTGGCTCAGACCCTGATACAAGGACAACCTTGTGAGGCTTGATATAGGAGTCCTGATGGGGAATCCTTAAAGAAAGCCAAGGATCTGAATAATGTGATACACACGCCTCTATGAGGAAGACAATTGAGGTGGCCACCCGCCCTCACACCCATCTCGTCAGCCGATGCCAAGCGAGTTCTTGCTTACTCGGGTTGCATATATTCCAACTCCAGCAAGGGGAGAAGATCCTAATCTATGATGCCGCGTCAGCCTTAAGGTTCGACACCCGAAATTGCATCCAAGAGGATGTGGATCCGAATGACATGATACACACGCCCCAATTGTCTTCCTCGTGGGGGCGCGCATATCGCGTTGTCCAGATCCACATTGTCTTGGACGCATTTCGGGTGTCCAACCTCAAGACCGATGCCATCAGAGATTAGGATCTCCTCCCCTTGCTAGAGTCGAGATATATGCAACCCGAGCAAGCAAGAACTCGTATTGGCGCGAGGGGCGGGTGGCAGTGGGTGCGAGCGGCAGGATTGGCAGTGTGTATATAGCGGGACTCGCTGGCCGAGTTTGGACCAGAACGGGGAAGAACTGGCGGCGGGAGAGACTAACACCCCATCACACATCGGCCGACGCGACTGGCGGGAGGGCGGGATCGGGGGCGCGCCAGCGGCGCGAGTGCACGCTATAGACGAGCCCAGATTCCCAATTTAGCGGGAAACGGGCGGGGAATGGCGGCAGGAGAAGGCGGGAGAGAGCGGGAGGGATAAGACCGGGGAGGGCGGGCCGGGGACTGGATCGGGCTGCGAGCGCGTCAGCGGGTGACAGTATGACCGAATCCCGGGCTCCGTTTTCGGCCTGGGCGCATAACGCCTGTTACCCGTCGGTCGACGCGACTGGCAGGAGGGCGGGCCACCGGCGAGCGGGAACGCGGGCGCGTTTCGGCCAGAATGCAGAGGAGGTCTGGCCGGCCTCACCTGCATCAGTAAAAGTGCACAAAAGTCTTTCAGATCTTTAGTCTTTAGGGAGGGTCTTTGATCTTTATGGCAGGGTCTTTCTGATCTTAGGTCTTTGGTAGATGATCTTTGAGCTTTCCTGGTCAATCTTTGGTCTTTCCAGCTGGTCTTGGATCTTATTTATAAATTGTCTTAGTAATTTGGAAAAACAGGGTGATAAATTAAATATGAGAAGGAACTTGAGTATAGAAAATAAGCTAGTATGCAATTTCATGTGAGTGATGATCTGCATACTTATTTACATAATAAGCATTGAAACTGTCAAGTGACAGAGAAAAATGAAAATCAGTAGGTAGAGGATCTTGACCAAATATTGGAATGAGATGTGCTGCACGCACAATGGTGTCAAGATGAATGATGTCCATGATGCGGTCCCCAGTATCATCAAGGTCAGGTTGAACCATCCACATACCCACATCTGGACAAGGCATATCATCTGTTGGTGAGAACCAAGTGACCAGAGCGCAGGGGTATTCGACACGGCGGTGGGTGAAGGACATGAAAAGTAGCACTCGGGCAGCAAGTAGACCACGGAAGCCCTCTTCATCGCTACCAGAGGCATAAACACAGTCAAATCGGGGGTTCGGCACCACGCCATGACCGCACTGCCCGGATACGTTCCCGGAGAAGGCCTGTTGAGTTACAGACATCACTGGGTGCATGGAATGCGGCAATTGCTGAGGGAAAGACTTTGATGCGAGCCGGGATGTCTGGATATGAAAGGGGATCAACAAGATCAAGGTCGTCATCCGGAAATATCTGGCCATGCAGAAAACGACGGATAAGGGATGGGAGCGTGGGAAAGCCAAGGAATTTGGAGAGGTGAAAAGGGTCCTTGGGATATGTTCGGACTGCCCGGACGTCAGTTGAGTATATATTACCAAAATGGTACGCACAATGACGCTTAGCCAATACAACAGTCGCCTCGACAGTATTTTCCATCTCTGGATTATCGTCATCATCTTCTTCTAGAAGATCAGGGCGAGTGGGGTTAAGGGTAGGAAGAACTGGATCGGGATCGGTCGGTCGAAGAAGTCCACGTTCCTCGAAATCGACTCGGGTTGCGGCAAGAGCGTCAAGGCGATTATTAATAGTGAGGATTTGCTCGATTGCTTCGAACTTGCTCGACCGGCGCCAGGGCTCCTTGACTGCCTTGATATGTTTCGACTCCGTAATTGAAGAGCATAGTCCATTTGGGGCCGCAAACTCGGTGATCAAATAGGGATAGTGACTAAGCGAGTGCTGGCGTGGAAGTGAGAATCCATTGGGACAAACACCACTTTCCTCGAAAATGGTGCGCTCCTGATGATACCGGGCCAGGGCTGCCTCGATTTCGGCCAGCGTTTTCGTTGTAATAGTGTTGCGACGGACAAGATAGCAAAAGTCAAGGAACGCACTCAGCGCTCGAAGCATCTGCGCAGGGACATACCCCTCGACAGCAGGCAGGTAGACCTAATCTCATTCAGTAACTAAGCTGGATCAATACTGCAAATTACCTTCATTAGAGCCTTTGAGTCATCTCCAGTCCACTGCTTGAATCCCCGTCCCTCGGGAAAACGACGAAGTCCAGGGAATGGTGGCACTGCTGCGATTCTATAATTTTTTTTACTTAATTCCAAAAATGAATTCCGCAAAAAGAACACGGACCGCCGGTCAATATCAGCCATAATTTTACTTGCATATGCTTTGCCATGTTGAGCATCCAGATATTCGCCGACCCATGTCAAGGCCCGCCGTACTGCTGCGAGAAACCCCGCCGGTCCAAAGACCGCTCCACGAAAGTCCAAGACGACCACTCCTTCTGTCGAATCTATTCCCCCGTCTCCTGCGATTGAAACGGCGGAGCTTCAGGCTGAGAATCAAGGTGCGAATGCTGTTTTGACCGAGCACTGTCTGATTCCAGCGTAGATGTCGATATGCTGTCTGAAGGACCGCCCAGCGACGAGGACGATGCCTACACAGAGGACAGTCAGCCGGAATCCGAGGAAGAGCTGCCTCGCGACGTGCCTGCGCCAAAGTCCAAGAAAAAACGCTCCAAGGCCCGCCGCACGGACGTCAACACAGCGCGTCGCGTTTCGGACACCAGCGGCACACCCATCGTTGCTGGCAGCGCAAAGCGCAAAGCTAGTACTGCAAGGTAAGCAGTGTGCCTTCTCCTAGTTTGTTATTTCGCACCTGAAACCCATCCAGCGAGCAACCAAGCAAGAAACCCAAAGCGAAGCTCAGTGGGCTTGCTGCTGCGCCGAAAAAGGTCCCCGAGCTTGCTGTCCCCGAGCTGGGTAGTCGTCCGGGTGGCCCCACGCTAGACGACGATGAAAACGAGGTCGTCGAGCAGCCAGCTGGCGGCGCTGTGAAGAGAGGCGTGCCGCGTGTCATCGTACGTGATCATCGCCGTCATTGCCCACTGACGTACGTCACGAGTAGGCCGCCAAAATAACTCAGAAGGCACATCGTGGGGAAACAAAGAAATGGGTTAACGCTGACACCCATGCTGACGAGCGCGCAATCAAGAACGAGCTCACGCCGCTCATCAAGGAGTGATTGGGGGAGCTCAATCCCTGGGATAACTTGTCCCTCTCGGACGTGCAGCATGGTCTCGACGCCGTCTTTGGTCGCGGGGTTTACAAGGCTGCCCATGGCGAGGTTTGGTACGGCCTGGTACGTGTTTCTTGCTTTCCTTCCCACCAACTGCTGACATGAGAGCCGAGATGGGATATAAGGCGAGCGACTGGCGCCGTGGCTTTGTGGACCAAGCAAAGAAGGCGGTCTTAAGTATCATCGACTACCTAATCAACATCAACACGAAAATCAAGGAGTCGAACGCGGAAATTGCTGCTGCAAGAGCAGCAAGGGATCTGCGTCGAGCAAATGGTATGGCCCATATTTTTTGCGCGCAGTAACTCAATTTTATGGCAGGCGAACCCGGATTCGAGGGTGACGACGATGAGCGCAACTTCATTGAAGAGCCCGAATTGGAGTTTGACTTGTCGACCAAGGAGGGCATGGCTGGCTTTGTCGAGCTTTGGCTCTCGGATGCGGACACGAAGCAGCATACAAAACGATTTCACTGGAACAAGTATCAAGAAACCGAGGACGGCATTCGGAAATCGGTGAGTTTATCCTTTCTATGAACCTTCTCTCATGGCATTATAGGGCTTTCTTCGCTCCAGCCTCATTATGTCGACATTCTCTTACCATCTTACCAGCCTAGACGCCATTCCGCGCCAATATGCGCGGTCAACAAAACGTCCTTATGGGGCCATGCTCCTTTCGGTACAAGCTGTAAGTCCGATATTCTTCAGAGCCAAAACTCAAAATATTGACAGGTCGAGTACGTGCTCCGGGCCTGGTCTACTGGCGAAGTTTGTTACCCCCGACAAGACGGAAGCCTTCTCGTACGATAACTGGGGGGATATCCCAAACACCGAGCATGCCAACCGAGCGACCAAATTCCTCCCGACGATCCGAAACTGGTCTGACGAGTCATGGGCAACCTTGATCAAGGATGCAGCTGAATGGAAGGAGGAGCCTCGGAGGCGGCGTGGTTGTGCTAGCTCCGCTTCGAGTGCAGCTGAGTCAGAAGGCGAGCATATGTCTATCCCTGAGTTCATTGTCAGCGAGGATGAGGACGAGTAGTAAATATACTAATTTGGAAATATATTACTATTTTGGGAATTCTTTCTGATTATATAAGAAAGGCTTTTGGGGTCTTAAACTTAGTCTTTGAGTGTCTTAAGACTGTCTTTGGGAAAGATGAGTAGATCTTGCACAAGACGCTTGGTCTTTTCCAAGACCAGGACGCTGCTTAAATAAGACCTATGGTCCACCTCAGGCTACCCCTACCTGGTACCTCTTAGGCTTAATCGAACCCACGGAACCCTGGGCCTAAGAGGTACCAAATCCATGGTATCACCCATGGGGGTGGTACTATCCACAAATTGTGGATGGTACCATGGGTGTCACACAACCTATGACCATGGTTCCATCCATACAGCCTTGGGTGCATCCATGGCTGTGTGGATGGTACCATGGTGCTTTGCCTGATTTGGATGGTGGGGTGAATGCCTTGTAGCTCGCTCAAATCTGGCTCAAAAAATAAGCGCTTTGGTGCAGCCGGTAGGTCTCCCCCCGGGCTCTTTGATCCAATCACCTAGTGACGGGAAAGTCACTGGTTTGGCTGGAAGGTGCTTCTGGCATATTTTAGGAAAAATACCCTTGCAATGCTATTGCCTTGGCTTTTGGGTTGTCTGATTTGCACTAGAAAAATGAGATATTTTCGCTCTTCAAGACAGGCCAAGTCCCATGAGATTTGCTTGGCAGACTATGGAGTTTTGAATATTTTTTGATTTTTCTGGCTTTTGATTAGTTGGCAGTTCGGGCATCATAAATGGGTAGTAGGCCACCTCAGTCTACCCCTGACCCAAACCTAATAAGGTTAATGTACCTTGGCAAACCCTCCACCTATGATCCCCTAGAAAGTGGAGCCCTTCCACAAGCAGGGATCCTACCACCGGATGTGGAGGCTTCCCCACCTGTCACGTCACATTACTGTGGAGGTTGCCACCATAACTGCCTATTTTGAACCTTAGTATTGCCTACACTATTGCCTGTGTAGTGCAGCTGAGCCAGTCTAGGTAGGTGTTAGACCTTGTATAGTATAGTAGCTACCCAGGGCAATGGACCTGACCATGTTCCCTGTACTGTAGCTTGCAGAATGAGAGCCTGATGAGAGCCTTATTAAATGAATTGCCCCTTTAGAAAATTGAATCTTCCCTACTAGTAGGCTGGCTGGGAGCCTTGCCTATCAATACATGATCCATAGAGATGACAGCCCTGGTATCAGCTTATTTGCTGGCTCAGAAAATTAAATTTTCTCTGCAAATTACTACTGATGCACTTGCTTGAAGCCTTGCCTATGAATAAATAATCCCTTGATATTCTTGACTGGAGTCTCGCCTATGACTCCATTTTAAATATATTATTAATTTCTGACCATAAGACTGGGTGGCTTTGAAGGATGGGGCATGAACAGGACTAAGAAAGGGAACAAGAAGTAAAAAGAGAAAAAGTGCAAAGATGGAGAATTGAACCAAGAACTATCAAATTGATGCCAAAGGCTGAACAGAGATAAGACCAGATAGAGCAGAAAGCTTTGTTGTACATACTGATCAGGGGCATATCATTGTCCCCCCGCAGGTTCCACAATAGGAAATTGAACACTCATGTGATCATTGTTGACTGGTGGAAGGCTCCTCTGTGCTGGGAGGAGGGCTGGTGGACAGCTCCACCACCCCTGGTGAAGGACTGGTGGAGGATTCCATGGTGGAGCCAGCAGAGCTGGTGGAAGCATCCCAGTGGCATGATGGATAGTCCCACTCAGCTGAGGGAAGGGTAATGGATAGTACCACAGGGAGGAAGGCCAAGCTATGGATTGTGCCTCCCTTCCCTTGACTTCATCCACACCCCATGGCATTCTCCACAGGTGTGCTCCCCCCAGACATGGCATTCTCCACTCTGGACAGGCACACCCTGGGGTTCTATCCACCCAGCTTCTCCTCAGGCTTGGGGAACAATCCTCTCCCTCCTGGCTGGGACAGTGGCTCCCTCCACGTCGCGTCGCGTCGCGTCACGGTCACGGTCACAAGCTGTCTAGGTAAGACAATACATCTATGAACAGATAAGACTGTCTGCTTATGGTTGGCTTAATTCCTTTTTCCAACATAATCTGCAGACCTAAACTACTCATACACAGGACAGCCATTCAGAAGGCCCACAATCGTGGTGCGGTCACGGCCCGTATCGCGGTCACGGGACTAGACGGCACACGATCCTGTCGCGGTCACGGGCGGTATCGCGGTCACGGGCGGTATCGCGGTCACGGGCGGTATCGCGGTCACGGGACATCTCGCGTCGCGTTGCGGTCATGCCCCAGCAAGCAAACTTCTTCTTATCTAGACGGCACACGATCCTGTCGCGGTCACGGGCGGTATCGCGGTCACGGGACGTGTCGCGTCACGTCGCGGTCATGCCCCAGCAAGCAAACTTCTTCTTATCGCGATCCTGTCGCGGTCACGGGCACTGTCGCGGTCACGGGACGTATCGCGTCGCGGTCATGGGCTTCACTCCTTCTCAATACGATTGTCGCGGTCACGGGCGGTATCGCGGTCACGGGACGTGTCGCGTCGCGGTCTATCTCGTTAACACAAGTCCTTCACTCACAGAATAACAAGCACATAGTATATTTTACAGACATTGCACACACACACAAGTAGCAAACATGGTAATATGACCGAACTACTCCAAATCAGGCATATCACGAAGGACCCCAGCGCGAATTTCCTCGTACAGCTCTGTTACGGCCACCCGACAATCTGGGAAGGTTTTCCACTCATCGGGCCCCCAGTACACTTCAGTGTGTCGATCCGCCGCCGTCATCTCCTCTGGCTCCATGTCGTAGAAACCGTACGACTTGAATTCCTCTGAGACAATGTGCCGATCGCCCACGTCTTTGAAGAAGCGGCATCGAACCACCTTGCGCTTCGGCCAAGGGTTAACTTGTGGTTTTGTT